GACATAGAAACAGAAAGCAAGAAATCACCCCCCAGGGGGATGGTCACGCCGCAATCCCTCCTCCTCCATTCTCCTCTCGGGATCTTGAGCACGCACGCACACGCACCCAGCATGAGTTCTAAGCCACCGGGTCCGGGATGCAAACCACGGTCGACTACGTGGGAATCCAGTGACATAGCCATTACGCTAACTGCTGGTTCCCCAGGTTCATTTCTTTCAAGTCCTGGGCTGTGGGCACCACATCTGTCCTGCAAAGGGAGTGAGTGAGGAGGGGTGAGGAGAAGGGGTACCCCGGGGGCATTCATGGGGCAGGGGTGGAGTGAGGCGTCTCACCTCCCAGCTGGTTCTCAGCAGTGGAAGCTGGACACCAGGTAGACCAGATATCCCGCGAGCGCTGCTATGGGGATAGTGGCCATGGCTCCAGGTTGCCCGGGGCAGCCGGGCATCCAGAACTTTGTACCTGAGGTAGCCGCCGTCGAACGTGACCAGGAGGCCTTCCTGCCAGTAGATGGTCTGATTTCGTTTCACCCGGAACGTGCTGCACCGGTTTCTCTGGTTACCGGTGAAACTGTAAATGGTGACTTTCCTGTTCCTGCTTTTAGTATTTTTCTTGTTTTCAAATAGCTGAAAGACGGAGAAAAGACCTGCTTAAGGATTCTGGGCTCTTCGCCTGCCCTGGGCAGAGCTATAAAGAGGCTGGGCATCGGGGCCAGCAGGTGGCGTAGTGGTAAAGGGGCAGGACTGCCATGTGGTTGACTGCGGTTCGAGTCCTGGACCTGGCAGCTTGAAACTCAAGCTGGGCATGTGTGCGCGCATGCCCAAAATCCTGAGCGGAGACTGGAGAAGGGATTGCGGCATGGCCATCCCCCCTGGGGCGTGATTTCTTGCTTTCTGTCTCTCTGTCTCTCTGGCGAGTACACACGCCCTGTAGTAAAAATCTCAGAAAAAAAACACAAAAAAACACTGGAAAAGACAGAAAATTATGAGAAAATGAAATATCAATTTAATGCCAAGAACACATCATTTAAGATTCTGGTATCTATGAGACTAGCAGATGGCAAAGAGGTTACATCACTGGACTCCCACATGGTTGACTATGGTTCTAATCCTGGACCTGGTGGCTTCAAAATCACACTGAGTATTTGTGCGTGCGTGCCCAAGATCCCAGGAGGCAAATGGAGGAGAAGGGATTGTGGCATGGCCATCCCCCCTGGGGGGTGATTTCTCACTTTCCCTCTCACTATGTCTGTCTTTCTTTCTCTCTGGTGTATGCATGCACCCTAAGGCAAAAACCTCAGTGGGAAAAAAAAAAGATTCTGGTATTTATTGTTCCAGTGGGTTTTAATAAAATATCTACATATACATTTCGGGACCAATAGGTGGCATGGTGGTTAAGGCGTTGGACACTCCCACGTGGCCGACTGCGGTTCAAATACCAGACCTGGTGACTTGCTTTCTCACTTTCTCTCTCTCTCTCTCTCTCTCTCTCTGGTCAAATTAAAGTGAATGAATAAATAAAATTAAATAAATATTTGTAAAAATCTACATGTACATTTAAAAACCAAAGTCCATATTCTGTTTCTAATTTTGTATACTTTTAAAATATTCACTTTTGCTGAGCCGTTAAAAACCCACATACAGGGCCCAGCAGGTGGTGTAGTGGTTAAGGTGCTGGACTCCCACATGGCCAATCAGGGTTCAAGTCCCAGACCTGGTGGCTTGCTTTCTCACTTTCCTTTTCTCTCTCTTTCTGGTGCCCTATAACAAATGAAAAAACAAAAATAGTAATACTTTTAAAAAAACCCTCACATAAAATTAAAAAAAAAAAAGTATTTTGCTAAAAGGCAGGTAGAGTCGCAGGAGATACAGAGAGAAAGAAGAAAATCACTCCCGGGGGGATGGCCATGCTGTAATTCTTCCTCCTCCATTCTCTGGAGGTTTGGACATGCGCACATTCCCAGGGTGTTTTTCAAGCCGCAGGGTCTGGGACTTGTACTGAGCCATGGACCAGGTGGGAGCCTGCTGCCTTTTCCACTACGCCACCTACTGGCCCACAGTTCATTTTTCTAAACTTTTCTATTCTAAGTAAGGTACTTTCCTGAACCATTCCTTTCTCTCTCTCTTTTTTAAAAAATTATTTAACTGTATTTGTTATTATTATTTACTTTTGTTTTAATTTGACCAGAGAGAGACAAAGAGAGAGAGAAAGGGAAAGTGAAAAAGCAAGCTGCCAGGTCCGAGACTTGAACCGCAGTTGGTCTAGTGGGAGTCCAGTGTCACAACTGCCACGCCACCTGCTGGACCCCCTTTCCCCTGGATATGAACCTTGGTTACAATCTTTCGTTCCCTCAAATACACCTTAATGAATGTGAAAAACAATTTAGAAAGCACAAAGCTTTCTAATAATTTCTTTGTAGTAGGATTATTGGGCCAAAAGTTCTATATTATTTTTCGTTTCAGGTGTTTGCCACTGGGTGTGTGCAACTGCCAAGAAGAGACAGAGAGAGGGAAAGTGAGAAATCACCCCACACGGGGGATGGCCACGCTGCAATCTGCTCTCCTCCATTCTCCTCTCGGAATTTGGGGCATTTATACACATACGCTTGGCATGATTTTCAAGCCACTGGGTCCAGGACTTGAACCACAGTGAGTCATGTGGGAATCCAGCCCCTTAACCACTTCGCCACTTGCTGGCTTAGTTTTTTTTTTTTTTTCTTTTTTTTGGAGAGTTTTTTGCTGTAGGGTGCGTGTGCTCGCCAGACAGACAGAGAGAGACAGAGAGAGACAGAAAGTGAGAAATCACCCCCCAGGGGGGATGGTCACGCCGCAATCCCTTCTCCTCCATTCTCCTCTGGGGATCTTGGGCACGCACGCACACGCGCCCGGCGTGAGTTTAAGCCACCGGGTCCGGGACATGAACTGCGATCGACTATGTGGGAGTCCAGCGACATAGCCATTACGCTAACTGCTGGTCCCCTGGCTTAGCGTTTTCAGGCTCTGCATACATACTGAGGAATGGTTCCTAGTGACTGGACTGTCATGCACACTGACCACCAGGAACGGAAGACCCCCTTTGGGCCTCTGGGCCTGGGAATTACAGCTTAACTTGCATGTCTGGCAGGTGCAAAGCGGGACTGGCCCTGTGTTCTCGCAGTAAAGGAGCTGGACCCACATGGCTGACAGCGGAGTTTGGATCCTGGCCTCAGTGGTACTTCAAAAGCACGCAGGGCATGACTGTGTGTGTGCCCCAAATCTCGACAGGATGGAGAAATGGAGGAGAAGGGATTGCGGTGTGACGACACCCCATTGTGGGCAGGGGGTGGGGGGGAGCGCTTGCCTTCTCCCTCTCTTATTTTCCAGTCCCTCTGTCTAAAAAGAAAAAATGCCATCTCCAGGAAAGCAGCGTTTGAATTTGCATGCCTTTGATGAGAGAGGAGACTGAATTCTCCTCCCTCTGTCACCCATCTGGATTTCAATAGAATTTTTCTACTAATTTGGGTCAGAGATACTTGGGGGAAGGATGCCAGGCTCCAAGCCCAGCTGGGCTCCACATGCAAGGCAGCCTCCCACGGAGCTGCTGTTCTGGGACCTCCCACCGAGCTCAGAAGGGCTCAGAGTTCAAAGGCAGGGCAAAGGGACAGATGGGACTTAGGGTAGCCAAGGCCCCCCTGCAGTCCTTATCTTGGCGGTTGCAAAGCAATGTCCCTCCCTGCTAACACACGCTGAAACAGTGAGGGTCACTTTTTAAACTCGCACATTTATTTTTCTTCCCGTTTCGGTAAAATGTGAAATAATTTTGTTTTGCTTAGTTTTTTAGGTTTTTTGTTTTTTGTTTTTTTTTTTGGCCATAGGGCATGCACTTGTTGAAGAGAGACAGAGATAGACCAAAAAAAGAGAGAGATCTCTTCTGGGGGGATGGCCACGCCACAGTCCTTTCTCCTTTATTCTCCTTCCAGGATTTTGGGCATGCACGCCTATGCACCCGGTGTGATTTTTCAAGCTGCTGGATCCAGGACTCAAACCGCAGTTGGCCATGTGGGAATCCAGCGCCTTCACCACCACGCCCCCTGCTGGCACTTCAAAGATCATCTTCATCGAGCCAAGCAGTTGTAATTCATTAACGATCTTCTAATTGGAATATAGCAAGTGAACTCAAGGTTTCTTTTTTTTTTTTTCTTTTTCTTTACTTTTTTTTCTTTTCTTTTTTGGAGAGGTTTTTTTTTTTTTTTTGCTATAGGGCGCGTTCGCTCACCAGACAGACAGAGAGAGACAGAGAGACAGAAAGCGAGAAATCACCCCCCAGGGGGGATGGCTACGCCGCAATCCCTTCTCCTCCATTCTCCTCTCGGGATCTTGGGCACGCACGCACACGTGCCCAGCGTGAGTTTTAAGCCACCAGGTTCGGGATGCAAACTGCAGTCGACTACGTGGGAGTCCAGCGACATAGCCATTACGCTAACTGCTGGTCCCGAACTCAGAGTTTCTTGTGAAGGAGTCAACCATCAGGGTTTATGCCAGGGTTTCCCAAACTGTAGAGTGTGTTGTAAAAAAGAAATGGGTGGACTCCGCCTTGCAGCATCTGATGCAGAGGGTTTGGGGCGGGGCTCAGAAATTTGCATTTCCCACGTGTTCCCAGGTGAGGCTGACTTGGCTGGTCCAGCAATCCTGCTTTTATTATCCTTTTTGTTTTTCAGAGAGATTTTTGGTTTAGGGAGTGTGTGCTTGCCAGAGAGACAGAGACACAGAGACACAGAAAGCGAGAAATCACCTCCCAGGGGGATGGCCATGCTGCAATCCCTTCTCCTTCTCTTTCATTCTTCTCTTAGGATTGTTTTGGGCATGTACACACCCATCCCTGATGTGAGGGTTAAACCACCAAGTCCAGGACTCGAACTGTAGTCGACTATATGGGAGTCCAACAATATACCCATTAAGCCTTCTGCTGGCCCCGGAACCCCACTTTAAGAAAACTCCAGGAGGGGACCAGCAGGAGGCTTAATGGCTATATTGCTGGACTCCCATGCAGTCAACTGTGGTTCAATTCCCGGACCTGGTGGCTTAAACTCACTCTGGTTGCGTGTGCGTGTGTGCCCAAGATCCCCAGAGGAGAATGGAGGAGAAGGGATTGCGATGTGGCCATCCTCCCTGGGGGTGATTTCTCACTTTCTGTCTGTCTCTCCTGCAAGTGCATGCGCCCTATAGCAAAAATCTCTCAGAAAAAGAAAACTTTAGCCAGGGTCAGCAGGTGGTGTGGTGGTTAAGGTGTGGGACTCCCAGTTGGCTGACTACAGTTTGAGCCCCAGACCTGGAGACCCAGCCGCCCTGGGGGTGATTTCTCACTTTCTGTCTGTCTCTCCTGCAAGTGCATGCGCCCTATAGCAAAAATCTCTCAGAAAAAGAAAACTTTAGCCAGGGTCAGCAGGTGGTGTGGTGGTTAAGGTGTGGGACTCCCAGTTGGCTGACTACAGTTTGAGCCCCAGACCTGGAGACTGGAAAATCACACCGGGCATGTGTGCATGCGTGCCCAAAAAAGGTCCCGGGACTTGAACCATGGTCGACTGTGTGGGAGCCCAGCGACATAGCCATTATGCCATGTGCTTATCCTTTAGCCAGGGTCAGCAGGTGGTGTGGTGGTTAAGGTGTGGGACTCCCAGTTGGCTGACTACAGTTTGAGCCCCAGACCTGGAGACTGGAAAATCACACCGGGCATGTGTGCATGCGTGCCCAAAAAAGGTCCCGGGACTTGAACCATGGTCGACTGTGTGGGAGCCCAGCGACATAGCCATTATGCCATGTGCTTATCCCTAAAGAGAGATTTTTGCTATAGGGCACTGGAGACACAGAGAGACAGAAAGTGAGAAATCACACCCCCCTACCACCATGGGGGATGGCCATGCCACAATCCCTTCTCCTCCAATCTCCTCTTGGGAATTTGGGCATATACACACACATGTGCCTGGCATGAATTTTAAGCTGGTGGGTTCAGGACTTGAACCGTGGTTGACTACATGGGAGTCCAGCGATGTAACCATTTCGCCATCTGCTGGTTCTTGTTTATTGTTATTACAATTTTTTTATTTGCTAGAGGGCACATGCTCTCATGAGAGAGAGACAGAGAGAGGAGAGAGAGGTCTGGAACTCAAATCATGGCCAGCCACGTGAGAGTCCAGTGCCGTAACATAACCGCCAGGCCACCTGCTGGTCCCCACAAGCTCTCCAGGTGAGTTAACCTCTGGACCCTCTGCTCTAAAAGGAGGGTTCTGATCCGCTGTTCACGGAGTGGTTGGCCACCTGTGCCCACAAGTTTGCCTCACCCCAGTCACACCGCGGCAGGGGAAGGGGTCAGTGAGGGCCCTCTAACAAAGACGGCCCCCTCCCTCCCACGAGAGTGGGCTGCATTTCCTTGGTGCGCCCCTCACGGGAACCGCAGTTACCTGCAGATCCATCTCGGCCAGGCTGATCAGCATCCGTGCGATAAACCTCTGCCAGAAGCCCACGGGGACGAAGCTCATCTTGAACACCCTCTGGATGGTGTTGGCCATGGGGTGCCGCATGCCGTGGGTGTCCAGGCCAGGTTTGGACGGAAGGAGGTGTGGCAGGAGGTAGCTGGAACACACCAACGAAATTGGTGAACAGCACGGTTTAAGCTCTACCGCAGGGCTCTGACGCCGCTGGGCAGCCTGGCCTGGGGGCACGTCTGCAGAAACCACTCAGATTTTGCAGGCACCTTCCCCTCAGGGACCTTAGGAATTCTATTATTATTATTATTATTATTATTATTTTTATTGCTATATGGCGTGTGTGTGCTCGCCAGAAAGACGGAGAGAGATTGACTACGTGGGAGTCCAGCGATATAACTGTTACACCATCTGCTGGTCTTTCTCAAGGCTTCTAAAAAAAGACATGACAGGGGCCAGTAGGTGGTGTGAAGGTTAAAGCACTGAACTCCTGCATAGCAGACAGTAGTTCAAGTCCCAGACCTGGTGGTTTGCAAATCACTGCCGGATGTGTGATTCCAAGAGGCGAATGGAGGAGAAGCGACAGAGGCATGGTCATCCTCCCTGGGGGTGATTTCTCATTTTCTCTTTGTCTCTGTCTCTGTTTCTCTCTGGCGACCACAAGTGCCCTGCAGCAGAAAGCCAGGGGAAAACTAAATAAAAAAAAAAGACCGAAGCGTTGCCATAGTGGGAAGAGGAAACGAGAAAACATCTGAGGTTTTGACAATGTCAGACACAGCAGATCAGAACTGATGTTCGGTAAACTGGGCTGCAGTCGTGGAGTCACTTCACGCCAGCTGTGGTTGGTGAGGGGACAAACAGATGCAGTTGGGCCGCTCCAAGGACAATGTGGCTTATTGGGGTCAGAGCAACCTTTCTGGCCCTCCAAGCTGTTTATTGTCCTTGGCCAACGGAGCCAGCACAACTGCCTGAAAAGTTAGAGTGAGGTTGTTTTGTGCAAGAGAGGGATGTTTTGTAAAAACGCTCTGGTTCAGCCTAAATAGTTTGCATTGCGTGGTGGAGCAGCAGGGGGCTTGGTGGTGAAGGCGCTGGACTTCCACATGGCCGACCATGGTTTGAGTCCCGGATCTGGCAGCTTGCTTTCTCACTTTCCCTTGCTTTCTCTCTCTCTGGTCAAATAAAATAATAATAATCATAAATAAAACTGTACAAATGAACCAGCAGTTGGCATAATGGCTATGTTGCTGGACTCTCATGTAGTCGACTGTGGTTCGAGTCCCGGACCCGGTGGCTTAAACTCATCCCCAGGGGGGGATGGCCACACTGCAATCCCTTCTCCTCTATTCTCCTCTTGGGGTTTTGGGCATGCATACACATGTGCCTGGCATGATTTTAAGCCACCGGGTCCGGGACTC